TCCTGCTCCTCCTCCTCCTCCTCCTCCTTCTCCCTCCCTCCCTCCTGGTCGCTTCTTCTTCCGCGTGCTCCTGCATCAACTCCCGTTGCTGCCGCGCCTGTTGCCTCCTTCTCCCCTATCCTCTCCTCCTCCCCTCTTCCTCCTCCTCCTCGTCCTCTTTCTCCTCCTCTTCGGCTCCGTTTGGCGACGGTGTGTCCCTCTCTGCGGGAGGCGTGGACCCGTCGGTCGGCGCGTCCCTCTACGTGAGGTGTGGACCCGACTGCCCAAAGGTGACCAACGTTGTGGGCGACGGCGTGTCCCTCCCTGTGGGAGGCGTGGACCCGTCGGTCGGAGAGTCCCTCTGCGTGAAAGGTGGGCCCGACTGCCCAGCAGCGTCGGGCGCGGAACCGAGGCAGTCGGCATCTCTGCGGCCGCACAGCTAACAATGGCGATGGCGACACCCTGGCCGTCATGACGGTGAACGTCTCGGGCTGGGGCTCCTGCTTGGAACAGCTGGAGCAATGCAGGCCCAGGCCATTCTCATCCAGGAGCATCGCCTGTTCGACGACCTACGGCTGGCAGCTGCCTCTCGAGCAGCCAAGCGCGCGGGCTGGGTGGCCGACCTCGTCCCCGCGATTGCGACGGACAAAGGCGGAGTTTCCTCAGGAGTTGGGATTTTGGTGCGCCCATGGGTGCGCATGAAGCGCGTCGAGTTCAGGGACGACCGCATTTCGATTCGATGTTCTGCTCGCTTGGGCTTTTGGATGACATCGCTGGGTTCGTCTGCGGGTACTTAGCTGATTTCGGCGTATTTCCACACAAACCAGGACCTGAACGACTTCAACTTGGACTTGCTAACCAATCTGGACTTCGTCATGCACCGCCCTTTTGTCGTGGGGGCCGACTGTAACATGCTGCCCGAGGTCGTGGACGAGGCCCACTTGCTCCCCGCGCTTGGAGCGCGCCTGGCTTGTTCGGGGAAGGCCACGTGCATCGCGGCGACGTCTGCGAGGGAGCTGGACTACGTTTGCGTGGACGCGGACGCGCCCATCAAGGGCACCAGCCGATGCGACCGCTTCGACGTGCGGACGCACCGTGCGGTCCTAGGCCTTGAGTGGGCCTCAGCTTCCAGGCCCAGACTGGACCGACGTCCACGGCGACCTGGCCACGATGACCACGGCAGCGGGCTTGGAGGTAGCTTGCGGCAGGGTCTCGGACACGCACTAGGACGAGCTGCCGCGGCGCCTCGACCTTGAGGGCACCCGCGAGGCCAGCAGGTTCTGCGGCAGGAGTGAGGGCCCGCGCCTGTTCCAGACCCAGCTGGACCGCCATCGCTCCAGCAGCTGGCAGCCCACGGCTAAGCCAGATCCCCGGATGCCCATTGGGGCTGGCTGGGCGATCGGGCGCAGGAGTGGCGGCTGCTGCAGGCGGCGGGGCAGGCCGCCCATGCGCGGCGCCTGCAGGTGAAGCTCCTGCGCTGCAAGCCGCCCGTCCCTGGCGGCGAGCCTGCGGCGTGGCTCGCCTGGCGGCGGCTGGCGAGGCGTCTGCGCCGTCTCCCTGATGATGAAGGTGATGAGCTGCTGGCCGTGCTTCGACGCCAGGCCATGGCGGCGGCAGGGCGTGCGTCGCACGGGCGCTACCAGTCCTGGCTCGACTGGGCGCGCGGCGCCACGGCCGCCGATGTCTTGCGCAGGGCGTTCCGCTGGATCCGCGAGCCTGCCCCGTGGGCAGCTGCCCGCTGGTCGCCTGCCGTGGGCCCGCAGACCGTGCGGGGGGCGGCCGGCGCGGCCGTCCGCCCATGGCGCGACCCGTGGGGCGAGGGCGCTGGGCGGGGCGCGGTTAGCTGGCCAGCGGGGCTGGGCGACGGCCTTCCGCTGCCGACGCCCGACGAGCTGCGCAAGGTGGGCCACTCCTTCCCGCGCGTCACGGGGTTAGGATGCGACGCCTTCCACCCTCGGCGCGTCACCTTCCTCTCTGACGGCTCGCTGGAGGCCTTCGCCGCCGTCTGGAGGCGCATGCTGGTCCTCGGCTACGCGCCCAAGGCGCCGGCGGAGCTGCAGATGACGCTCATTCTGAAGGCCGAGACGGGCGTCCGCACCATCGGGCCCCTTGCTGGAGTGCTGCGCCCATTCGCACGCCGGGCGCGCGGTGCCGTCGGCGCTCGCTGGGCCAGCGCCCACCAGCGGGACTACATCTACGGCGCGTCTGGGCGCAGCTGCGAGACGTGCGCGTGGGCCCGAGCGGCCAATGCTGAAGTCGCGACTCTCCGCGAGCAGGCGGCCTGCTCCGTGCTCATGGCCCTCCCCAAGGCTTACGAGCACATCCCTTGGGCGCTGCTGGTCTTTCGAGCCCGCGCCTTGGGTTTCGACATGATGCTGATGTGGTTGCTCATCAGGCTCTACTCCCTGCCAGGGCGCGTCGCCGTGGACGGCGTGGCGATGGGCCGGTGCGTCCCGCGGCGTGTCGTGGTGGCAGGCTGCAGCTTGGCGGGCCTCTGCGTGCGCATCTTCCTCGTGGCGCGGCTCGACGAGATCGCGGCCTTCGGCGCCGTGGGCCTCGGGGCAACCGTGGGCGGCATCCAGCTCGGCAAGGTCGGGCTTTCCAGGCTGGCGGCGGCGAGCGTCAGCGCGGCCTACAGACGGATTCGAGGCGCCCTGACGGCAGACGGGCTCGTCGCCAACGATGGCGCGGGAGCGGTGCTGGCCGGCGACGCGACTGCCCGCGGCCGCGAGGTCATGCGGCGCCGCTGCCCCTTTCGCGGCAAGTTCAGGAGCTCGGCGCGCGACCTGGGCGTGGATTTCGCCGGCGGGCGCCGGGCTGGAGTGGGCGCGCGGGCCAAGCGCACTGCTACTGCACTGCGCCGTGCTGCGCGCATTCGCGTGCTCCGCGCGGCTCGTGGCAAGGCGCGCCAGCTGGTCGGCCTCGGTCTGGCCCCAGCTGGCACTTCGGGAGTGGGGGTGACTGGGGTGGCTGGAGCGGGATCGAACCGATGAGACGAGCGGCGCGCTCTGCCTTGGATGTGTACACAGCTCGTCGCCCCCTCGATGTCGATCTCCGCCTCTCCCCTGCCTCTCCGTGGACGGTGGGCCCCGCCTGCGCTTGCGCTGCGGGGCCCGTCCATATGCTGGCCCAGGTGATTTGGTCCTCGTGAAACCCTCGGGAATCGATTGCTCGGTTGATGTTTGCTTATGAGGCTGCTTTCTTGGCCGGCCCCTCCAAAAGGTCCGATCCCGGCTGCCGTCGCCAGTTGCCGTCGAATAGGATGGAGGCTCGGGCCAGGAGTGTGCATGCTTGGAATTTAGGACGGTCATAAGATATACCTCGCTCGAATGTGTCCTCGCTCCGTGCTACACGTTGTTCGATTCGCGATCGAGGATGGGCTGATGGATCGTGCCCGCAAGAGCTGCGATTGCTTATCGAGTCTCGCCCATAGGCCGTACTTGTCACCTATTCGTAAGTTGTGCAATGGAGCCGCTGGCTTGATTTTGACCCCCCAGCATCAGGCCAGTCTCCGTGCGATTGCTGCGAATGGAATCTGGGATCAGGCTCGCAGGTTCAAACACGGTCTGGCGACCGATCCGTCGTTTCCCCTGTGTGGCAGTTGCCCTGGTCCTTTCGCCGCTTGGATTGCTGGTGAATGCTTGGCCACCTGGCAGTATGTGCGGGATTACGACCTCCCCCCTCTGTCCGTGCGGGCCTCCGTGAGCACCCCGACTGGGCCCTTTGGAGGCGCGGCCTGGTCTCCGACCCTCGGTCCTGGGTGATCGGCCCCTCCTCCTCCCTCACCGTCCGCTGGCTCAAGCGTCCGCTGGGCGGTCACTTCGATGGCGAGGCCTTCGGCGACGGCTCGTGCGCGTCGCTAATATGGGGTGACCTGCGCCTCCTTCGCGCAGGCTGGTGCGTCGTGCAGGTCGACGCCAGCGGGGGCCATGTGGCTTCCCTGTGCGGCCTGCTGCCTGGCCTGCGCCAGGTGTCGGACCTGGCCGAGGCCCATGGCCTGCGTGTATCTCACGCACGCTGGGCTCGGCCCCTTTCGCTACCACTCGGACTGCGATTGGGTGGTCTCGAGCTTCCAGCGCGGCCGTTTCGAGACCGCGGGCGCGACCTTGGGGGGGGGGTGCGGGAGGTGAAAGGCCACGCCCGCCGTCGCCTCGATGGCGAGGAAGAGCTGGGCGCGGTCGCGAGGTGGGGGGACCTCCGCGCTGATGCTGGCGCCCGCGTGGGCGCCTCTCCTCACCTGGCGGATGCCGAGGCCGGCGAACGCGTGCTGCGCTCTTTTCAGCTGGTCACTTTCGTGGCCAAGTTCCTGGCCAGGACGATGCAGGCTGCCGGCCCCAAGTCGCAGCGCGCGCCGCGGCGCGGACACCTGCGGCGAGCCAAGCGACGGAGGCCGACGCCAGCCCTCACGGCGGACACGGAACCGCCCCCGGGTGCCCACGTGCCTGTGCCGTCGCCTACGGGCTTCGGGTGCGCCAGGTGCTCGGCAGCGAGATGCTTTCATCCCAATTGTGTGTGCCCCTGGAGGGGGCCACCGCGTCTGGCACGTTGGCCAGTTCATCTTTTGCGCCCGCTGCGGTGCGCACCCCAGCGAGAATGCGCAGCTCCTGGCGCTCCCTTGCCTTGGTGGAGTGCCCCCCAAAACGCGCGCGCGTTTAGACTGTCTCTGGGAGGGCCTGCACCCTCGGACTGGGCAGCCGCTGCTGCCGACTGCTAAGGGACAGCTGAGGCCGCGCCCTTTCGGCGAACTTGTCCTCGACGCCACCTACGGGGGTTTGGTCGTGGTCAAAGACGATTGCGCCGTGTCGGACTAGCCTCCTGTCCCTTCCTCGTGCGGCACTCCCGTGTGGGATGCGCCCGAGCTTTCACACTTGTCAGGCTTCGCCTGAGTCTGTCTGCGTCGCTAGCCCCGCTCGCGCGCTTTCGGCCGCGCCTGGATAAACTCGCCCCTTCTTCCTCTCCCCGCCCCCTCCTCCTGTTGCCCGCTTCCCCCCGTTCTCTCCTCTCCTCGCCCCGCTGCCCAGGAACCCGAAGTGATCTCGTGCGGACGCGGCGCGGCGGGCGTGGGCTTGGGGAGAGAGGGGAGGCAGGGATGGCGGGGGGGAGGGACGGTGGAGGAGGAAGGAAGATCCAGAGAACCGTTCGGCAAGAAATCCTGGGGAACCTGGTATACCGTCGTAATGTGTTCCGCCCCTAGAGTACATTTGGGCCGATGTGCGCGCGGTAATCGATGATATAGCGCCGATTTAGCGTCGACTACCGTCGATTGGCGTAGATTAGCGTCGATTCACAAGAGCCGACAAGGTGGTATGGGAGGTTACCATGAGTTGCTGTCGAAGAGTCGGAGCTATACCGATACCGTTGCTCGTCCTGGAGAGCCCTGGTCGCCACGACTGGGTTCTCTTCGTGCCCCCTGGGAGAGGGTTGGGGAGTCGCAGTATCGGTCGTTTCTGCCCCCCCCATATCTTGTGGAGGCCAGGATGGTGTTGCGCACGTGAAGATGTCGTGTGGCAGTCCGTCCGATGCTCCAAGTCGTCGTTCAGCTCGGTGTCGTTTGCGCTTCTGGCCGTCAGAACTCAGTAGCTTCGCTAGAGCGGGATGCAGGCTGCGGGGATTGGAGGGGGGATCCTGTGCGGTTGAAATCGCTCGGCCCCGCCTTCGCGATCATAATTGAGCTGCGAGACGAAAAGAGAACGGTGCACCATCCGCTCCTTAGTACCGTTTAACCGACCTCTATCCCTGGGGATCCCCATCCAGATTCCCACCATCCCACCACCCAAATTGGGGTTATACCCTTCGACACTTGAAGGGAAAGGCCTATATCCACATCTATGGGGCCAAATCGGCCAGTGGGGCCCAGCCCAAACCCATGGCGATAAGGGTCGGTCAAACGATGCTCCTCCTCTTCCTCCTCCTCCTCTTCCTTTGCCCTCCTCCCCGTCCCTCTCTTCTTCATCGCTCTTCCTCGTCCACGCACTCGCTCTGCAGCGCCACGCTCGCGTCCATTCTGATAGTTGGCCGCCCTGCGAGCTGGGCTCACGCGTCCAAGGCGGCGTCCTTTTACTGATAATCGGATGGGTGGAATCATAACAGGAGACGGAAGGTGGCACAACTCAATCTCTTCGCGTGGTCATCCGTGTTCGCAGCGCGTTAGGCCTGCTTTCGATCGACCGGTGCTATCTTCTTCCAGTTTGCGCTCGGTCAATCCGCCGATTGGAACATGGGCGCGCTCCCTGCCCGAGTCCGAATCACATCTCCTCCCTGTCCTCCTGGCACCCCGCCTCCCGTGCTCCTCCCCTCCCGCCCTCGCCTCGTCTCTGCTCACACCTCGGCCTGCTTCTCTCCCCCCCTCTCCTCGCCGCAGCCCCCCACCACGGGTGCCGAGTACTCCTTGCCGCGTCCAGCTTCCGGCCCCCCCGCTCCCGGGTCGGTGCCCTCCACGCCCACCGTGCTCCAGAAGCGGGCGTCTCTCTCTCTCTCTCTATCTCTCTCTCTCTCTCTATCTCTCTCTTTCTATCTCTCTTTCTCTCTGCGCCTCATTGGTGCTGATTTGCCGCTTCGCAGCCCGACCAGGGCTCTCCCGCGTTAAGCGACCGCCAGCGCCGCGACCAAAAAAGTGCTCATTCCGTATCCCTTGCGGGGAGCGCCCTTTGACCGCTCCCAGAAGCCTGAGGCGCTCTCGCCGCGCTCCCACCACTGTGCCCTTGCCAGCCCCAGAGATGAGATTCGTGCGTGTCTCTCGCCGCGCAAGGACGCAGGCACCCACGCTGAAAGACTACATGTTCTAAGCATATCCTTTCCGGCTTGGTAGCAACCAGGGTCCTTTTCCTTTTCATGCACAGCTTAGCAATGAGTGCAGGCTTTGCCATTTATCGGCAGCCGTGGGCGTTTGCATTCAGGAGCGGTGCGATTGATGTTCATCCTTCCGCTGTGTCGACATTTGCTCGCTTGGAGTAGGGCTCCAAGAGCATGGAACGACCTTCACAATCCGCGTCACCCGAGTCCGGGGCCATTGCAGGTTTTTCCTCTCACGGCCTCACGGCCCTGCGGTCGCCTTCGTCCGGATAGCCCCCTGGAGGGGCAGCGGATTTCTCCTTCTCCCCCGCCTGTTTACTGTGAAAGAAGAAAAACATGTTCTGAGCATATCCTTTCCGCTCCCAAGCGCGCTCCCGCCCGCTTTCCACCGTGCCCAGTTCGGCTACGTGCATTCCACGTCTGCCTTAGAACGCGACTAGGTTTCTCGTCGCTGCGACTAAAAAGTGTTTCGCGCCGCCAGCGCCGCGCGCAAAGCGCGTCGTGCGCTGGGCGCGTCTCCTCCCCACGCTTTGCAATCTGGCAGCCAACCGTGATCATAAGGACGAGCCGTTTACTAAGGGTACCATTGCAACCCTGCCTCTCGGTCCATCCTGACCCCTCGCCTCGGGCCGTGGGCTTCCAGTCTCGGCTTCAACTTGGGCATCTGAGGGCCTTGCGTCCTTACCGCGGATCCTTCTGACCTGGTCTCATTGTGCTCCGCGACCGCGCTGCATCTTATTGCGAAGGCCTGGCGGCCGATGCCGCCGACCCTGTAGACAGCGACGGCGAATACAATGGAGGTAGAGGAGTCCAAGATGTCCTTAGATGGCTCGAAGACGGCGCCAGATGCCTACAAGGTCGTCCGAAGACAGCTCAAGAGGCCTCCTCCAGGGTTCGGCCACGGCTCCAGAGAGTGCCAAGATAGGCAAAGAGCGCCCTCAAGTGGCCCGAAAGGGTTCCAAGACTGCGTCAAGCGAGGTCCACAAGCGCCCGCAGAGGCTGTCATGAGTGCCGCCAGAGGCTGCCAAAACAAATGGCGAAAGGTCTCCAAGGAGGCTTAGGATGGGCTGAAAGGGCCCGCAGACGGCCCCAGAGGGCCAACGGATTCCCAGGACGCAGGAGGATGAAAGGCGGGGGGCTGCGTATCCGAGGGGGGACCCCTCCCCGGGAGTTGCCCCGGGACCCCTCCCCCCCCAGCGGGGAAGGGATCAAAGGACCCGCAGACGGCCCCGGAGGGCCAACGGAGCCCCAGGACGCAGGAGGATGAGAGGCGGGGGGCTGCGTATCCGAGGGGGGACCCTCCCCCAGGAGTAGGGGGGCCCCCTCCTGGGGAGTAGGGGGGACCCCCCCCCGGGACCCACCCCCTGGCGGGGAACGGATCAAGGGAAAGGGCTTCCCTTCGACTAAAGGACGACGTGGTTTAATTTTTGTGTTCGCTTGTGTAGGGAGCCTCCGGAAAGCAGAAAAGAGGCGACGACGCTGTGAGGAAGACGGAGAAGCCTCGCCCACACGCCGACAGGGTCGGCGGATTTTTTGTGTGCAGGTGCACACTGAACTCCTTGCTTGTTGCTACACAGCGCTTTGGGCCTTCACATCGCCGCTGACGAACATGTCACGCGTTGCAGGATTATCCAGACAGGCCAGATTCCAGAGGCCACGGCCTCACCCGCCGGTTCGTGGCCAAGTAGGCCCTGACGGACGGTTGTCCACAGCGGTGGTCTAGAGTTCCCTCCTCGAGGAGGGGGAACACCCGTGGCCCAGGTTGCAGGTCGCAGTGAACGTGCAGTATTGCTGCCGCTTGTTGCCGGATTCAGTCTATGCCACTTGCGTCACCACATCATCAGAACATGAGACACCGCGCTGTGACCAGCTGGTCCAGCACACCGTTCTTCAAACTTATGGGGCGCAGTCGCAAATCACATCACTGGTGTCGATCACCTGTCCGTCTTCTCGTCGTCCCCATCCCTCCTTGCCACCTCCTATCTTCATCCTTAATTTCTTAGAAGATTTGAATCCCAAGACGCTCTGGGACGCTGTGGAACTCCCAAGTCCAAGCCTTCCTATCATCGCCTCTCTCTCTCTTTCCAACTGTCCTTCCTATGATGACTACGATTGGGTCGTTGACACGCTCCTCCCGCGTACCGCTTTTCATACAGGGTTGTCCTTGTTTTTGTCTCTGCGATTCCCACTTCGGAACGTCTGCTGGATTGTGCGCGTCGCTTGCTCGCTTCATTGCTGCCCGACCTCCCAAAGTGGTCAGAGTGCTCATGTGTTCATGCAGCAGTGTATCATTAGAGTGGGTAGGCAGGATTAGGAAGCAGAGGGAGCAGTAGAAACCATAGCCGTTTGGGTCAGTGAAACATGTAAGCACATCTCATTATGGTAGCGCACTGGTAGAGCCCAATACGCGCGCATCCGTTCTTCGATAGGTTCGGTCATTTCGGGAACGGCTTGAGCCAGAGTTGAACATCAGGGTAAACTTCAACATAAAGGTATAGTTCAACATTCAGATCAGTTCGACACATTGGAGCATATTGTGCAACGGTGGGCAGCGGTATGGGGGCTCCTCGGCGGCGGATTGCAGGCTTCGGTCTCGTGCGCAGGCGCTCCGATTACAGATGTCGCAGTCGGATTTCCTCTTCAGGAAAGCTTTTTGGGACGACTGGTACGAGCGTTCGCATGTGTTCGTGCTCACCAGGGCTTGGGATCATCTGGAAGCCCACGGCGTTACTCCGAGTTGCGTGATGGCGTCTATCTCTGGAGGTGTTCCCCAGTTGTGGCCGGCAACCGTTTTGCGGCGAGTTCGCCAACGTGTTCAATGCGAAGCCTATGACCAGTTACTGCAGAAATTTCGCCCCGACCCAGACATGATAATGCGCACGAAGCTGCAGCTCTGGCACCTTGGCGGCCTCCCTGGCGTGATCGCCCGACGAGCGTTATCCAACGTGCAGCGGCTGGCAGATCTGGTGACCCCCAGGGTCCGGGCCGCGTGTCTCAGCACATTGTGGAACAGGTGGACTACAGCACAGCGTTTTCAACAGAGGCATCGCAATTGAAACTGCTGCGTCCTCGGGTGCGGCGGGCAGGCCGAGGATAGCCTGGAACACTACTTCCATTGCTCGTCCATCAAGTGCGTGGCGCTCTCTTCAGGAGGTCGCCGCGGCCTTTTTTTCTACCCAGCTTGGAGCCCAGCTCACGCGATCGCATCCGGCTTTTCGCCTTGCTGACAGGGCCGTTGCTGGTCGTTCGCAGGCAACTCGGGAGGCTACGAAACTCGCGCCCTGCGCCCACCTCCTGCCCTCTCGCCCCCTGTGGTGGTTGGCACTGTGTTTCCCCGTGCCGGCAAGGACATTTTTTTTTTTTTTTTCCTTCTGCGCCGTTCGCATTGTTGATCGCCGCGCCGAGTATGGAGGAAAGCGCTGTGCCCTGGCAGAGCGGCTGGTGCGCTGGGCCGGGGGCGACATGCGAGATCACAGGCGCCAATTTGACTTTAGAGTTTGGGCCGCCGCGCGTGCGTGTCCAAAGCGTCTCGGCTCCCACCCTCCCTCCCCTAGTCTTGTGTTTCCCCGTGCCGGCTCGGGCCGGGCGGTTGATTTTGTGCCGTTCGCATTGTTGGTCGCCGCACCGAGTATGGGGGAAAACGCTGCGCCCTGCAGAGCGGCCGGTGCGCTGGGGGCCGGGGGCGACATGCGAGAGCACAAGCGCAATTTTTACATACATATAATGTTTATGTATGTTATATATGTGTGTGTGTATGTATGTATGTATGTATATATATATATATATATATATGGACAGCCCCCCCCCAGCACCCATTCATCGCCTTCTTTCTCTTGGCGATGTTCTACACTCCTCTTCCTTTCCTTTCCTTTCCTTTCCTTCTTTCACTCCCCTTCCTTTCCCTCCCCTTCCTCGCTTACATCTTCCCCTGGCGTCAGCGGGGGCGTTTTTTCGACTCCACTCGCGCGCGCTCTGGCCGCAAGGCTGGCCAACGCCTAACGGCAGCGCGCTGTAGAACATGCACACGGCGCCTTCCCCCGAATGAGGGAACCCTGAGCTTGTGGCGAGCATTCTGCACACACAGTGGGCCCAAGAGGCACCGAACCCTGTGATTTCACAGGGATGCTTGGGATTTCTGGGATGTTAATCCCACAAGCCCTATGATTTCACAGGGATGCCTGGGATTCCTGGGATTTCCCACCTCCGACAATAATCTACCCAGGGCCCCCCCCCCCCTCCCCGAGGCCGCGAATCCCAAGCATCCCTGTGAATTCGCAAGGATGCTTGGGATTCGGAATCCTGGGGAGCTTCAGGGTGGAATTGTGTCGGAGGGTGGAGAATCCCAGGAATCCCAAGCATCCCTGTGAAATGACACGGTTTCTGGGTTTCTCATCCCAGAAATCCCAAGCATCCCAATGAAATCACACGGTTCGGTGCCTCTTGGGCCCCGGAGGAGGCGGACGGGAAGGGCGAGGCATACGAGGAGGAGGAGGAGGGGGGGGAGGAGGCGGAGGAGGGGGGGGAGGGGGAGAAGGCTGAGGAAAACTAAGAGAAGGAATCGGGGCACGCTGCAGCATGCCACGCAGGGAAAAGCATGCGCACTACACGCAGTGACGCGGAAACGAACTGAGCGGCTGCATGGGAGATGCGGCGCGAATATTAGAAACAGTATTGCACAGGGCAAGAGGAGGAATATATATATATATATATATATATGTATATGAGGTCACCGTTCGCAATCGCAGAGGGCGGAGGATCACGGGGAGCAGCAGCGGCAGCAGCAAGGCGAGGCAGATCCCTGGGGGCGCTTGCTAAAGCAAACATCATAGTGCCGCGCGCCAACGCCATGCACTGCGACTCCGCGCGGGCACGCGCGCGCGACCTGAGCCATCGCTCACCAGCCGTGCTTCTTGCTCCAGGCTTCCTGCAGCATGGCGCCCGTCTCGTGCTAGAGGTCCTTGCCGCGGTTCCAGTGCGCCCGCTGGAAGCTGCGGACCTTCTGCGTGAGGTGCGCGGAGCCGACGGCCTTGTTCTTGCCGACGAAACGGCGGAGCTCGCGCCAGACGCCGTCGATGATCTGCGTGCCAGTCTTGACCCAGATCCTCTTCTTGGCGCCAGCCTTCAGCGGGTCGGGGACGTCGTGGTACCGCTTCTTGCTGTGCGACGGCTTAAGCCATACCCACTTGCCCTTCACCTTGGCCTTCTTCTTCTTGTGGACGACCCAATCGTGGACGACGCCCTGCTCCTTCAGCTTATAAGACCGCGCGCCGTCCGTGTAGAAGATGACGTTCCTGTTCTTCAGCCACTTCTTTGAGAGGGGCGCCCAATCCGCCTTGCGGATGGGCCCAGGGCCTGTGGCCCGACGCTTGGTCTTCTTCGGCTGGAGGCGGAACAGCACAAGAGACTCGGGGGCGCCACGCTGCACGATCCCGCCCCACTGCTCCCAAATGATGGGGGTCGCAGCGCGGGGCCCCGCGTCGGGGTCCTCCATCTTGCCCAGGTCCACCTCGTCTGCTTCGACGTCTGGCCACTCCGCGCCCTCGCCGAACTTGATTTTCGGCTCAGTGGCGCGCACGTGCGCGGCGCGCGCAGCGTGGAGCGAGTTGTAGATGTTCTCGACGGCCTTGTGGTTCCTCCGCACCAGGAGGCGCGTGGTCGTCTGTGGACAGCCTGCGACCGCGCAGAAGGGGATGGCGGACTGGTCTGCCAGAGACGAGAACGACTGGCCCGTGCCCTTGCAGAAATTTGATGGAAATCATGCGGCGCCACGTGGCGAGTGCACCAATCGCGGCTGCAACGGTGCCCCCACCCGCCCTTCTTCTCCCCGTGGTCCTTCAGAGGCCCCAAGACGCCCTCGCCGCAGTGAGGGCGCGTCGCCCCATCCCACTTCGGCACGATGCTCTCTCTGCGCAGCTTGTCAATCACGAACTTCTCAGAACGATTGACGAAGTCCTTGATGCAGCTCGCCCACGCAGCCCGGTCCTTGCGACCCCTCGCAAGGGCCGCGGCGCCGTTCCGAATGTAAGGCGCAGCCTTTGGTGGGGCAACCTTCTTGCCGATGGTCTTCTTGACGGCGCGGCCCTTCGCAGGCGCCTGCATTGCATTCATGGGCGTCTTCATTGCCTTCATGCGAGAGCGCGGCGGCGCCATGGCTGCGCGGGCCTTGCCCCTCTTGGGAAGCGGGAAGAACCGGGACATCGCTCGCGGTCGCGCGAGGGGGGCGGACCGCGCGCTCTGACCTGATAGCCAAACGCTGCTACGACGCATGCCTGGCCCACGGCCGCGCAAGGAATGCACCCCCCGCAGACGCGCTCCGTTTTTATTTTTTCTCCAGACGTCGCTGCAATCATGAAAGCTGACGACAGAGCGGCGCACGACGGCCTCATCTGGGGCGCAACGGAATGCGCCCGAAACCGTCGCGCGGTCTGTGGCGCTTTGTAAGGCAGTTGCACGTATGAGAGCGACACAGCGCGAATTCGGACCGGGCAGCGCGGCACGCAGGCGCCCCGTCTGGGGCGAAGTAGCGCAGCTGCGACCGCGGCCGCATGCGTGCGCCTGCGCCCGAGACACGCGCGCGCGCGCTGCCCGTGTTCTGCTGACCATGCGCTCACGCAGCCTGAGCCTCACGCTCGCGCAGCCTGGGCCCCGCTGCTCGCAGACGATGCGGCACCCCTCTGCCCCTCCTCATCCAGGATCTGCTCGAGCTGCCTCTCCAGCGTCATATCGCGCTTCTTAGGCGAAGGGGTGCTGAGGTCGATGCAGGCGCCTGGCTGGATCTTCAGGTTCTTCCAGACGCCAGGCTCCAGCTTGATGCGCTTGGTCGGAGCCGCCTCTGGCGTGCGCGGCACAACTGGAGCAGCCTCAGGGGCGTCGCCGAAGAAGTCATGCTCGTCGAAATCATCAGGGGGGCTGGGCACCGCTGGCGCGCCCGCGGCCGCCTCCGCATCCGCATCGCCCTTCTCGGCTGCGTACTCAAGCGCCGCGGCGGCGGCGCGGGCAGACTTCATGTGCTTCGCCATGAGCTCGGCCATGTCCTTCTTCTCGAACGAGAGCAGACGGCCGAACTCCTCGGCATCGCGGCGAACGCCGGAGTCCTGCAGGTACGCCCAGAGAACCTTGCCTGCATCTGGTTTCAAGTACCCCTCGTACAGCGGGTACTTCTCGACAGCGCTACCCTGGCCAGCTGGGCGGAAGTACAGAGCGGTCTTCGTGTTCAGCAGGATGTTGCACCGCTTCAGCATCGCCCCGATCTGACTGCTGGAGAAGTGCTTGGGGAAGGCAGGCAGTGTCATGTCGATGAGGAACTGCGTCGTCTTCTTCGCATTGTCGCTACTGGTGACGGCGAATGCCCAGTCTTCGAGCGACGGCTCTGCGGACGCATTGTACTCGTTTTCCCCGCCGAACCTCGCCTGGCCCCGCACGAACTTGGCCGCGCCCTACCTGACATAGGTCATCGCCTGCATCTGTGTCGGGTCGAAGAACGCCTGCGGCGGAAGGGGAAAAGAGGCTGTGCAGGTCCCCCGATCGATGGAGGTATCTCGCACCACGCAGGACGCGCGCGGGATAACACCAGCGTCGAGCAACGCGGCCACAACCAGCTTTTTCCCCGCCCGCACCTTGAGCACGCGGGGCCGCTGGTCGGAGAGGTCCCCGTCGTCGAATTTGCAAGGAGCCCATTTCTCCCCGACCTCCCCGCGGAAGAAGTCCATCTCGGCCGACGCCCGCACCGCCGCGACGACCTCGTTGCCCCGCGCCTTCTCCATGTCGGCGTGCCGGCGCGCGATGGCCATTGCCGGGATGTGCATGGGAGGTGTCTTGCCAAACTTGGCCTCGCCAATTGTGAGCAATATGTTCGTCAACAGCGTCTTGATGATGCGCTTTGCGATGTCCAGATACTCTGGGCGAATATCATGAAGCAGGCACGGGTAATACGTCTCTTTGACAGCAAAGTGGTCCCTGTCCTGGATCTTCTTGAGCACCCTGTCAATGAGCTCGCGCCTGAAGTGGCGGACGGGGCTGTCTGGATCGACGAGCTGATGCTCGACCCACAGCATTTGCTCGCAATCAAAATTCCCGCGCGGCGCCTCTGCCATGGTGAAGTCGAAGCCCACGCGCAGCTTCCTCTTCTTCTCCTCCACGCCGTCCTCGTCACCAGGCGCGACGGCCGCTGGCGCCGCGACTGGCGCCGCGAACTCCCAGTACTTGAACAAGATGCCGCCCATGTTGTCGAACAGCAAGTGCATCGTTTTCAGCGTCGTGTGACGGTCGCGGGTCCAGTCGGGGACGTAGGGCTCGCCAACGATCAGCTGCTGCTGGATGACGCTGAACTTCTCCCTGTTGAGGAATGATATGAACTTCACCACGATGTAATCTTCGCCCGCGGGCTTCGACACGTGAGGGTTGAGGAACATCGGGATCTCTGTCTTCGTGGGGAACCCCAGTGGCGGCGGCAGGCTGTTGTACCCCCCCTTCGACATCATTTCCTTGACCGAGCCCCGGTCGACAGCGGACAGATCTCCTGGGGACGAGACTACGTCAACGACGTAGCTGGTTGTCTTCTGGGTTCGGCCCTCCCAGTGCTTGATGGGCAAGTCCCACGCGGTCGAGCTGCCTGGCCTGTCGATTGGGCCGACCATCATCGATTCCGCGAGCGCCGCGGCGGGCTTCTTCGCAATCGCAACCGCGAACGTGCGGTGGAGGACGTCTTCGGTGTGGTTCGGGCGCTCCATGGCCTTGCCAAGGGAGGTCATCCCCATTGCTTGAACGTTCGCCATCGCAGGAGACTCCTGGCTGGCCTGGAGGAGAAGGCAGCGAGCTTGAGCCAGTGTGCCTGCGGCGGGGAGAGAGGGCGGAAGGCGGGTAGTTTCGACGGCAGAGCGCTATCGTGTTTGAACCCCACGAATAGGGGGATCTCACTCAAGATCCCCCGACTAGGGGGATCTTGTTTAAGATCCCCCTAATGTTTGCCAGGGCCAACACAACGTAGCATTTCGAGACGGTCGTGGCCCGTCACGCGACCGCTGCACGCGATATCATGCGAATCGATCGAAACGGGGGCCGCGCCCGCCAGGCGGCACAATGCGTCAGCATGTGTGTGTGTGTGTGTCTGTGTGTGTGTGTGTGTGGTGTGTGTGTGTGTGTGTGTGTGTGTGTGTGTGTGTGTGTGTGCGCGTCTCTCGTTAGCAGCCCCGCGCAGGGGGGGTCGTGGGCGCATGCCTTACTGCATGCCCATGCAGCCATCCCGAAGGGATAAATTCCCCCTCGAGACCCACTTCGCTGGGCCCATGGTGAGCCAGGCCCACCGCATCCTGTCTTTGGGAGTAGCCCAGTGGGGGAAGCGGCCCTGTTTCGCTTGGAAAACCTTAAGCGCAGCCTGGGCCTTGTCAAGCTCAGCCTGCTGCTTCTCGAGGAGCTCCCCCTGCTGCTTGTTCTCCTTCGCGAGCCGTTGGTTCTCCTTCTGCAGCTGCTTGACCTGCTCGCCCTGGTCCTGTGCCTTCTGGGTCTCTTTAGAGAGCTGCCCCCTGAGCTTCCTGATCTTCTCGTGCAGCTCGTCGCAACGCTTGTTGCTCTAGAGGGGGACGTCGGCCACTGCGTCGCACAGGCGCTTGTACGATGCATTTGTGAACTTTTTGAGCGCCTCGTGCAGCTTCTGTTTAACCCAAGGCCTGCTCAGGAACGCCTTCAATGCCTTCATGCGGGCTCTGTTCATGTTGTTGACACGCTTGCGCTCGAGCGCATCCGTCGACGACGAAGGCATGATGGCAAGAAGTGGGCAACTTGAGCCAAGAGGGGGCTACGATAGCAGAAGGAACGTGGAGGATCGCAGGGAGTGCGACGAGGGGGATTGGGATGGAGAGCGAGGGGCGCAAGAAGAAGGCGAGGAAGAGGGGGGAATCAAGATAGGGAGGAAGATGGGAGGAATACGCATGGAGGAGTATTGGACGTCGATGGGCCCTCCGTGGCGCCCATGGGCCCCGCGACCCGCAGGTGTCTCATCTTCCTCTTCCTCCTCCTCCCCCTCCTCCCAGGTATTGCGACGCTTAGGGGGAAAAGGCATGAAGGTGAATAAGACGTGGATGGGGGAGGGAAGCATGAAGAGGAAGAGCGAGGGATCAAGACAGGGAAGGCGATGGGGGGAAGAGAAATGAATGATGGCAAGAAGTTGAGGTCAACGATCGATGCAAAATCAATGGGTGCTGGGGGGGGGGGGGGGGGGGGCTGCGCATATATATATATATATATTTATATATATATATATGTATACGGCGCCTGTCACGATGTCAGACACTTCAGAGAGAGAGAGAGTGTGTGTGTGTGTGTGTGTGTGTGCGTGTGTCATTTCTCGTCCATGTTGAAGATTTCGGTCCCGAGGGCTGCCGTCAAGAGCTGCCGTCAAGACGCTGCATGGTGCCGCTCCGAGGCCTCGGTGCATGAAGACGGCGCGTTCCGCCGCGCGTGCAATATCAGTTCGTTTTCGCAATCGTGCGAAAAACCCCGCCATCGCTGAGGGGAGGGCCCGACGGGGGCAGGAACTCCGATCTTCTATTGCGGATAGATGGCAACCTCCCAAGGTAACGCAATCCCGCGTGGCCCTCGTACCTAGGACATCCTCGTCAGCAGTTATTTTCAAAACCTCGGATTTTGAGCGGGCATCGGAAGTGGTGGTTCGGACGGAGCAAAGAATCTGAAGGCAGCGCCGCCGCAGGCAACCGAAATGGTCGCGTTAACTTAGGGTCGATGCGCTGCATTGCCCACGCGGGCTGTGGCTTGAATTACAAATGTTGAAAATGTTGTTATACGTACCGACGCGATGGGTAATGTCAGGAGAGTATCTCCTGGTATCACCCTGAACGCTGGCGGAGGTTGCAGCCGGGCTCCCGGCTGCATGCCGTAAAATTCCAGGCGGTCATTTTAAGGCGCCACTTATGCCCGAATGCCCGAACGAGCTGTATGTTGTGGAACGGAACGTGGACCATCGGTTAAGCTTTTACTGGTTTGCGCGCGAAGCCCCATTTCTGCTCTTGCCTGTCGGGCAGAGTCAACCTGACGGTCGCCGGATAGATTCCGTATTTGACACTGTCAGGAAGAGAGGCCTTCGGCCGCTGGATTGTTGCAGTCGCTCAGGGAGCCGCGGCTTTCCCTGGCGGTGGAGAAGCTGCTGGATGTCCCCCAGCTAGCTCTGTCCAGACCCGCGCGACCGTTGACTTGCGCGCGAGAGAGTTGATGGCCGCCCGCAGCTGAATCGACGGCCGCCAGGTACAACCAGAAGAGCCGCTACCGCTACGAATAGAACTTGTGGATGTAATCACCCACTTATACTATTCGCCCTTAATCGCCCGCAAACGCGGTTGGACTTCCAGTGCAACGGGCGTTGTTGCAGCTACCCCGTTGTCACCGACTCAGTCGGGGACATTCGGAGCAGGGAATGCGAGCGGCCCGTGGGGGGCTGTCTCGGGGGACCCACCCTATAGTTTCAACGATATGTGTTTCGATTCCACCCCCGCTACTGATAAACCTGAAGTGGGTGAAATGGCAGGCCCCGCTGGCGGTGATCTCGTCGACGTCGCCGAGCCGCCAGCGGAACCTGAGGGCGTTGGCGTTGAGATATCGAATGCCGTAAAACAGGACGCGCGCTCCTTCCAGCTTCTTTTGACCCCTTCCCCCAACAACCTATATTGTGACGCGTGCAGCATGGTGAAGGCTCCACGTTTGCAAAGCCGTAAGAGCCAAAACAGAGGGCTTAGGATTCCCAGACCATGCCCTGGCCCTCCTTGCTTCGGACATCGTGCCACCGCGGATCACCGGTTTGCGGTCGACGAGCTATCGCGCAGGCGCCGTGGGGAAATTGCGTGCGTGGCGTTTCTCGATCGCTTCTCGAATTTCGTTGCCGCGCAGGGTGTTCGCGACAGGTCGGTGGCGCATGTGTCTATTTTTTGGTTTCGCGGATGGTGCCCGAGCATTTGCAAGTGCTTGCCGGGAACCCGGACTTGCGCGTGGCGCCGCCCCCCTGGGCGGCGAGAATCTCGCAGCAGATGCCGAAGCATCAAACCAGATTGTCCAGATGGGCGCTGGGCGCATGTTGCGCGGTATTGTTGCCTTTGCCATAATGCAAGCCAGTATAAGGAAGGGATGCCCAGTTGGCGAGCTTGATTTGGGCCACCCTTTCCGGATTCTCTTCTTCCTTTCGGTTGCTTCATTCGCTGCGTGCCTCCGCCCGAATCGCGATGCCGAGTGGCCGAGACTGGTGCGGCCGTGATCTCGGGTACTGATCTGGGGTATGTCCACGGGTCGGGGGGAATTGTTGGACCCTGGTCATGTTCCCCCCAGGATCGCTCGAGGGTCTTGAAATTGCGACTAGGCGCAGATCCGACGGCACTCGGCTGGCCATCGATAAAACCGACCAAGCTTACGCAGATATTCTTGATGGCGACGCGGGTGACCGAGAGATTCAGTTTCGCGTGAAAGACGCTCGCGGGAAAACCATCCCCGAGTTCGCCTCGGCGACAGTGCCGCCCGGGGGCGCGGCTGCCAGCTCCTCGAGTAGAGCTCCACTGGCCGCGGGCAGCTCGGCAGTGCGCGAGCCGGCAGGCGATGGCGAAGTATTCGACCATCCGATTTCACCGCCAACCCCATCTGAACAAGATGGGAGAGGCGAGGCGGCGGCCGATTCTGATCCAGATGGTCCGTCAGGCGACCAGGGTCCAGGGGGTCCAAAACTGGCTGAACGGCTTGTGCAGGTAGATGAATTCGATCATCAAAGAGACGTTCCGGCTGAGGGCTGAGGGAAACTTGATCTTCGCTCTCTTGAGAATATATTTATGTATATATATGTATATATATACACATATATACACACATGGGAGAGGCCAGTGCGTCTCTCAAGCAAGTGCCGCGGTTTCGGAGGGGTCTCTAAGCCAGGGCAGTTGTTGGCTCGTACCACTCAGAATTTGCGCGCCCCAGAAAATTTCGAGGGCGAACGCGACTTGCCTACGGAAGGTCCGCGGACACGTTATCCTATAATTTTTTATTCTGTTTGGGCGGAGAAAAAAACGCACTTCCCGCGCGGTTCTTTATTGCGACCCAAAATATGAACGCGATCGCTTGGATGCGGGTAGAGGACGTGCAATGTGGGCCAACTTCTGTTTTGGATGCCACGAATCCAAGGCCCAGCCTGGCAGGTGGTTCATCGTGAGCAAGGGCCCATAACGGTGGGCGAAGCCGTGCCTCAGAACAATGCAAGGCTGAAGCGCTGGGATTCTTTGCGCATGAAGATGAGGGGCCACGCTTGGCACTCTCGCGGGATATTGGAATTGAGGCAGCAAGTCGAGCCCGAGATGCGCAGGGCACTTCCGATGTTGTTGGAGCACTCACAGCATATCATAGCCCATTTTGTGGGGCAGATGTGGAGTTGATGTCAGATTCGGTGGCAACGAACGTGGCGTGGATGATATTCTCCGGGGCGGTGACGTCGCGGGTTCAGCTTGGGGTGGTCATCGACCCTGGGATCCCCTCTTCCAAGGCGGGCTCGCCCGGCCCAGAGCCGGGCGGCTGCCGCGCCGCGGCGTGCCGCGCCCAGAATGCCGTTCCAGTCGCCCTCTTCTCGCGAGCAAAACCACGGAGAAAAGGAAAGGGTGGATGTGCAGTTTGGCTGCAACGCATTTACCGACGCGAACCAAGCGTTTGCATGGGGTGTTTTGTTTGCCGGCTTCGTCGGTGTGCTGTGTCATTCCCGGTTTCCATTGATTAATGCTGCGTTTGCACGTTCGGTTGCGAAATCCGAGGCTGCTGTAAAGCCAGAAGGTCAAGCGGCTTTGATAGCCGAGCGTGGCAGACGAAGATCCATCGGCAGTTGGGCTGAAGACCACGTTCGGGAATGCAGTGATGTTGTTAAGAATCTTTAGTCGCGAGTTCTGAGTTGCCTGAAAGGCCAGAAAGGCCGCGCGTTCAAGTTGAGTGTTGTTTTTGAAGGTTCTGATTTTCGCGATCAGAGCAATGATGTTGTCCTTTGCCAGGAGCTGCCCAGCAGTTCCGCCGCCGTGCGTGCGCGCGAAGTGGCTGATGCGCGAGTGCTGTTTGAAGGCGGCGAACAGCGACGGGCCGGCGCCGAGCGGGCGCGCGCGCAGCCGCAATTCGGTTGGGCTCCCGCGTTGATATTTCCATTGGGAGAAGAATGGCCTGAATCTTGGGAGAGTATGCGGAATCCCGTTTGCCTCGTAATAGTCTCCTTGCGCGGTCATCCTGATTCGGGGGGGGGGGGCGGGGGGCAACGCTGCGAGAGTCGCGTTGTCTCGAAAGGTTTTGTTGAATCTAGCCCCGTGCGTAGCTGTTGCCATCGCCCAGACATGTACTTGTTTCTTGTAATGCGTGCTGATGATTTCAATCTGTCTGGTCCCTCGCAGTGCGCTGATGCCGGATGTCGCGTTATGCAAGAACGGTCTGTTGGCTGCCCCAAGGGAGTCGAGATCGACCCACCCTCCAAGGTTGTGCGATGCCTGGGCTGCGAACGCATGCAGAAATATCAGCCAACGTTGACTCCGAATAGATGAGGGGGCAGGGGGGGGGCGAGAGGAGGATGGGAGGATAACGAAAGGAAGACTGGGTCAGGGCGGGTGGAGGGCGAAGGGCGGCAAAATTAAGCAAACGCAAGCAAGCAAACCGAAGCGAGCGAGCGTGAGCGAGCAATGGCATGCAAGAGCCAGCGATCAAGTGCAAGCAAGCAAGGACAAGCATGAGCAATCAAACGAGAGCAGACGCGCG